GATATTCACGCTGTATCATATGAAAACGATTAAGTACTAAGATTCGTTACGCAAGACCAAGTTTTAAATTAGTTGCATTTTGAATGGGGTGGGCGCTTTGCCGAATGTGACCCCAAACATAAAAATTGAAAGAAAAGAAAGAAGAAAAAAATTCCTTCTCCATCTTTCAAAAGAAAAATGTTACATTGTTTACAAGGATTCAGTATGTGAAATTGAAAGTATTTTGAAAGGGGGAGGGGGGTAACAGATCAGTGACTGGTAGACTGCATCCAATTACACCTGAGAGAGTTTTTTTTTCACAGCACTTTTTTTTCTAATTGTCTGGTACTCACAATGGGATAGTTAGGAGTTTGGAGGCCTTGAACTTGATAGTTGCCATGCCAACCAGATGAGACCCAGATAAAGTGAAATCTTTATTGTCTTTACAAGGCCATCGCTTTTATTTTATTACTGGTAGATATAATAGTTATTATTTCATGGATTTTTCATGGAATTTCTAATATTCTACAAAAAAACTGACACAGACTGGAAATATGTCTGTTTTTTTGGACCTTATGGCTGTATTTTCTTCTTTTGTCCCCAACGTTTGGCATGTTCTTGGTGTTAACTCAATTCCTAACATTATTTTCTACACTTAATTTCAAATTTTGATTAAACCAAAATTTACATATACAAATACATGTATAACACTTATTTGTACAGCTACTAGCCTACATTACTGAACTTTTCTAATGAACTGAGAATCACACTAGAAAGTCATGTATTAGAGCAAATAGCATTAGGAAATTGACATCACAATAGGTTATATGAAAACTCAGAGAAAGGGTAATCAGTGATACATCCTCTTTTCCAGACAACACAATCTATGTATTCATATATATATAAAAACTAGCTAAGCTTATTCACAATAGACTTTAATGTACAATCTCTGAAATACCAGGAAACTGTCACACACGATATGACGTATGGTGTACTGTCACTGTATATTACAGTGCACAGGAAAGCATGTGAATTGGTGACATGTGGATGGATGTCAGTTCCTGGCAAGATTATTGATCCCTAGATAGAAATTCTAAATACATGTATGCTGGTAGGTGTAACCATTGCTAAAATGTCATCATCATCACAATGCATAAAATCATGCCAATTTACTACCTGTGTTTTCATGGCAACATATTTAACAGCAATGTAGTGACAAACTAAAATAAACTTTCAAAGTTACTAATACTAAGATATCACAACTTCATTTAACAAAGCTTTTTTTTTATTACAACAAAATAATGACTACATCATATCTTTATTTTTCATTCTTTGTTATGAACTAATTAGTATATACAAATTTGCATGACAATAACCAATATCCTTGGAATATTATAAACATGTAATTACTGCATTATGTATCTCTTTTTTTTCATTTAAAAAAAAAAATTTTTGTGTCAGCTAACAGTCACTGTTGTCACGGTTTCCCCAGAGTCGCTAGTTAGTGAATGAATCTCAGCCAATGAATTTAGCCTTCCTGTCGAGTCTGTGGCCGAAGTAGGATTTGAACTCTGGTTTACCGATCAAGAGCCAGATGAAACAACACTATGCTAGTGATGGGTATGACTATCTCATTAATAAGATTTATAGAAATTAACATAATTTATTTCTGCATTGTATGCAATAAAACTTGTGCATGGTGTGTATGAATCCTGTCTGCAAAGATGGAAGGACTATCAATATCAACTTGACTGTTGTGAAATTAGTATCAGAATTGTCTCAATGTGTATGGATGGCACAGGAATTATAATTTATTTGTAGATGCATATAGAACTCTCATGATTTCATCCCTAACAATACCAGAGGGTGCAGATAATAAAAACATTGTGAGAAACAATGAATTCTGCATCTGTCACTCAAGAGCTTACCCATGACATGGTTTTACCATTTAGATGTGGGATTTCTATTGTTAAGAACACAATAGGCAGGCGCAATAGATTTTAGATAACAGGACCAGCAGCTGTGATGAGACAGATATTAAAATTATTAAAAATAGTGTTGTCTGTGGTCTCACCAGGATTTTTTACATTAATGAACAGGGGAAACAAAACGTATAGATGATAAATATACATAGTATGTGCATGGACAGGGCTTGAACTTCAAAGTTGAGAAAGTACCTATTTTCAAAGCAAAATTTGATAAAAATAGCCTCATTACATAGCCAAATTACATAATCTTGTTACATTTTCCATTTATATATTTTGAAATCTATGAGAAAGGGCATTTATAGACTTCATGGAATAAACAACTACTGTAAAATCTGTATTAAAAGCCGCAGGTTCTATTAAAATGATACAATGCAACAGAGGGGATGAGACTTCTATTAGACCATCAACACATATGAGAAATGGTGAATTTTTGCGTCTCAATTGTAAAAAAAATACTGGGTGCAGCTTCTATAAGAGACATGGCTTCTAGTAGAGATTTTACAGTTAAAAAAAAAGAGTGGGATTGCCATAATTTGATGCAAATTTATTGACGTTTATAAATGATATTAATGACACTTGCATGAACAAAAGGTCGAATGGAAAGGCATCATAATGTAACAAATGTATGTTTGGCTGGTTGACGGATGCAGACAATGTGATAGTGTAAAATCAGTAACAAAATAGTCACAGATGTGTCACATGTTTTACCCAGGTCTCGCACAATTCATTGATTGGAGTGTTTCCAAAAGACTGCAGACTGAATGTTAAGTTTTACATCAAAAGTAAAACAAAAACTATAATAAATATTAGTTTAATAATCATTAAATGTTATCACTTGTATAATATTAAACAAATTCTAAATTTTTACTGAACATATTTGTCTTGTTTATTTATTATTGAAAATGTACGTAGATTTAGACTTCATTAGTTCTTGAGAACCATTTCTGAAGCCCTCATCAGACCAACAATTGATAGTATTATGATTATTAATCATTGTACATGTATATACATAATTATTATTTTCATTAATCTTGTTACATTTTTATTTTCATGAATTTCATTCATTCATTCATAAACTCAATCATAGAGACCAGTGATTCAGACGCTCATCGAACATCACCAATTTACAGCTATTTTTTCACAATGTTTTGTTTTGTTCAATCATATCAGAAAAAGGGTTTTTCTGTTAAATTTACTGTTATACTCCCTAAATATGGCAAAATAAATAGGAATGCCAGAGGACGCTAGTTGCCATTTTGAACAAAAGCTAATTATTTGACAACTGAACCTGTGGAAATATATATTGTTGGAAGACAAAATAAAACCAAAAAGCACACCGATCTAACCCACATTTCATCAAAGCAGGACAGTAAGAACTATTTACATGACGTAAACCAGACTTAAAAATATAAACTAACAGGCATTAACCAAATATTATTTTGAACTGAAAAGTAAATAACAGAGAAGTCAAATGAAGGTTGAAAGTTCTACTTAGTTTATGGATTGCTTTCATTTCATGAAATGTCACATACTCGTGTCAATTCTCTCACAGTATTGACTAAATTGGTGACATTCAATATTAAAAAATAGTTGAGACAGAAATAGTTTGTAACATAATATCAGTGACTGACAATGACATTTTAAATCACATATTTGTAGAGGTACCTCCTGCCATGATATGGATTTATATTTTAGATCATGTTGGGAGGAAAAATTCTACCTAATAAAATAATTTAAATTATTGCTATACACTGAAACTTCAGTGACAGCTTTTGTTTTCAGTTTCAGTCAGAATGGTCATATGTTTTTGATGTACATCATAGCATTCACTTTCACTTCTATTTTATAGCTGTTTCTATAAACTAAACAAAAACAACCAGAAAATGCAACATCATGTCACATTAATTAATATTTCTATATCAAAATAAAAACTGCACTGAACAAGTTCAATCCACGATTTGGTGCCAAATTTTTTAATAAGTTCAGGAAAGGCATTGAATTTGGGCATAAATCAAGGCACTTGACTTACACAGCCGCTCAACCTTTGACCTGGATCCTAGAGCTAAATAGTTGTATTTTAATAAAACCGATTAATTTGAATAAGTAATTAAGTTAATAAGTTGTCATTTATGTCAGATATTGAGTAAAATGACCAGATTACTTAGTGAGTACAAATTCCAGTCAAGCTTGTTGTATTTGTCAATCAAAAATAACTGAGGACCAAACATTTGTCAAACCCATTTTTTTTTTGCTGTATCATGTATATGGTCAAACGAATTGATAGATGTGGCTAAACAAAATCTATTGAGACTCAATAAAAACATAGCTAGTAGAAGCAGACAAACTGCCTTCCAAAGCTGCATGCCACAGTTACATCACTACATGTACAATCATAAAAACCAAACAATTATTCTACCATATGTCCAGAACAGAGAGTGGTTTCCAATATGCAATACTGTAAAGGGGTTCATTCTTATTCCGCTGACCCAAAAATGCGCTAAATTAAAACCCAGTGAATATGTAAAATTTAGCCTAAAACCATTATCCAAATGATAAAACTGTGAATATGAATATGCGATAAATGGTAAATCAACAAAATTTAACCCCAGTGAAAATTAGTCATTTGACAGTATGTTATCAGATGACATACATAATGTTTTAGATAATAAATAACAAGCGTAAGTACATCCACAATATGCACTGCATTTACCATTACACACACAACCCAGCAATATGTATTTATATATTTTATTGGGGGAGGGTTTCATGTACAAGGTCCACCAGGGAGTGGTGGGGCAAATACACTAATAAGATACTAGTATATTGCAGTGCTTAAAATAAATATACCAGGACAGATATAGGTAAAAGATTGTAAGTAAAACTGGTATATTTGCCAAAGCAACTGTTTGAAACATAACTGAATCAAATTATAGCGGTCACATGTTAGTTCCAATGAGAGCTGATGCATGAATACATGACAAAACACGTTTTACCGACGCATGTTGCAAATGTTTGTGTTGACTGAAAACTCACCTTATAATTACTAGCACTAACCCAATGCGCAAGTCCATCAATTAGCTGGCCGACGTTTTCACATTCCAGCGAATTGGCAGGATTTTGCAGATATTCCAAAAGTTCTTGACCAATCTGATGACGTTTGTGGAAATCCTGCTGCAGCACAACAATGGTAACTTCATCCAGGAAACTCGACATGGCGATCCGATGAATAAACTGCTGTCGACGTTGATAACACGTTTTAATACTTTATATTTAATTTAGTCGTCGCAGAAATAACGGCGATACCAGTGGCATTTATAATACTGAATAGTTATATTTCTCGCCGGGTTGAAGTGAAGTTCACGAACATTTGCCAATTTTGTTTTATTTATAGCCTAGTTTGATTTCAGTTTTCAACAACGATGTATACAAATATACGTATATATATAAATATATATATATATATATATATATATATATTACTGGTGCACTCGAAAATAATACTGCTTCAAATTTTCACCAAAACACACGTTTAGTTGCAGGGAATGAGTTTCAGTTGACCGAATAATAATCAATGTATACTTTTTCAGGAACCAAACGTCAACTCACATGGTCTCCGGTTATTCCACGTTGCATCAAATCAATTTAAAACCTTCACTACGTCTGAAACTAAACACACACTGACAAATCACCTATATGGCAGTTATCCAGACCTGAATCGAACCGACCTTGCGGCTTTTGCACCAATTTCGCTGCTAGTAATTGTGTAAACAGGGTTTATACCGACTTAGCCGCCATCTTTGTGTAAGTTTCAAACTCATTCGTGACGTCACGGACCAGGTTAGTCTCGACCTTGTGAGTCTCGGATCCACAATTTACTGCGTACCGACGAAAGAGGGCGACAAACAGCAACAGAGACAAAAATGTCGAACAAGAGATTCCTTAAAACACATCGAACAGTAAATACATATTGAAGAATTTAAAAAAAAAAGTCCTGAAAAATAGGTTTGTTGGAA